AGCATAGTAAGAAACTAGAAAAGAAATAACACAATTCTTTAATGACTCAAACAGATTTCTTTTAAATCCTAGCTTTAAATTTAATTATTTTCTCTGATGGAACTTACTGTTTTCTAGTATATTGAGTTTTCCAAGCATGGTCTTTGTAACCATTTACTTCGATATATAGATTCTTAATTTTTTTTTCTAGACAGGTCATCCAATTTAGCTCAGCAGCATAATTCATACAAACACGCTGTCATAATTTTCTTTATAATCTTTATACAATTTTAGGGATGTACCGTGAAGATATTTCACAGCATTCTGTACTTTTCTACATTAGAACACAATAAAAATGTTAATAGGTCACATTTATTGAGTACCTACTAGTATTTTAGAGAAGTTAGTCCTCCAAATGAGTCTTTGTGGTACTTTTGTTATTTTTGTAAATCAGATAAGGAAATGGGGGCTTAGAAAGGTTAAATTGCTTGTTTAGAATCACATAGCTAGTAAGTAGGACCTGGATCAAAGTCTACCTTCCTCTAAAACCTAAGGGTTCTGTTTCACTTAGTAATAATGTTTTAACCTCTGCCCTTGGGAATGCACCTAACCAGCAGTTAGATAGGCACTGATTCAAATGATCTTCACAGTGACAGTGATTAATTAATCTTATTATCCACACTTATTAGCGTGATGTATACCCCAGAGTGGTGTGGCTTTGGATAAAGGACATGAGAGTATGAAAAAAGGTGATTTTTTTTTTTTTTTTTTTTTTGGCCTAGAAACTCTTTACACTTATCTTAAAACACCTGAGGATAATTGGACCTAAGTATCACTGACTAATAATGGACAACTAAATCAGGGTAACAGCCAGTCAGATATCTATAACTTATGCCATCTCACAGTGAATTTATTCTTATAGAAAGGAATTTATTCTGTTATAGAAAGGAAGAATAATAAAAGCCTATATTCTAATTCTAGCTATATCAGTTACTAGCTCTATCCACTGAGCCAAACCACTTCTGGCTAGTTGTTCTTTATAAAGAATACTTCTGCTTATTTGAGCAATGAAATGTAATATTTACTATGAATTTTTTTTATATATAGATACTCTTTATAAAGTTAAGATTTTACTTACCTTTCATTCCTTTTTAAGTGTATTATAATAAATGAATTTTGTCAAATGATTTTTTTTGTTTCTATTGAGATTGTAATTTTATTTATTTTCTTTAATTTATTAAGGCAATAAATTTACATTAATAGCTTTTCTAATCATAAACCAACCTGGGATTATTGGGGTAAAGACTATTCGTGATATATTTTTAAAGCATTGCTATATTTATTAATTAATCACTTATGATATTGAAAATAAGTTTTTAATTGAATTGACCTTTAATTTTCCTTTTCTTGACCTTATACTATTTCTATATCAATATTATACTAATTATAGGAATGACATTTTAGAAATTCCTCTCTTTTTACATTCCCTAGAAAAAATTTATTCTGGTAGTTATTTTATGAAAATTTATAAAAGTCAATACAGTCATGCTGGTCAGTACCATAAGCTGGGCTTTCAGGCTGCCCAGGGTCACTGTTTGGGATCCCAGGTCAGGCAGAGCCAGTGGCCATGAGCCACAGCAGGGCAAGGATGCTGGCGTGGCTCTCTGCCTCAGTGGGGCTGTGGATGGGCTCCAGAGTTGGCCACAGCCTCTGTTGGACAACCTAGTGAGGCAGAGGTTGAAGACTATGTTCATTAGAAGGGTAGTGCTGCTAGTTTGGCTTTCTGTCTGGAGAGGACTATAGAATTAGCTCTGTGGCTGTCTTGGGTCCCTGGCTAGGTTTCCTTCTTAGGTTGGGCTTTGCTGTTGGGTGGAGCTGTTGCCTTGCTTTCCTGTTTTAGCAGGCATAGGATGTGCTGTGTAGCCACATGGCATCTTTGGCCAGTTACTTGCTTCCCTACTTGTTGGGCTGTAGGATGTGCTACATGGTTGCCTTGCATGTCAAACCAGGCTTCCTCCTTCAGTGGGGCTAGAGGCTATGCTCTTTCAACAAGACAGCCTTCTGGCAGGTGACCCAAACCAGGCAGAATTGCCAGTTAAACTTCTTATGGGGCCACTGGCTCAGCTATGCAAATGATCAGAGCCACTAATTGGAATCTCCTCTGAGGCCCCAAGTACAGGAACAGAGTTTGCCAAGATCCTGTACTTGTGAGCTCCTCCCCCTTCTCTATCTCTAGCTGACTTTCCCAGTTATCTCCAAGAGGCATACATAGTGGGCCTCCCAGGAATCATCCAGAATGCTAGGGAAGCTTGATGTCCAGCTTGCGCTCCCCTTTCCCACCGGAGAAACTACAGGCCCAGGGGACCTCCTCCATGCAGCACTGCTCTGACCTGGGGGAGGAGCAATGTGGGCAAAGTGAAGCTGCTCCTTCTTCCCTTCTTAATGCTGTTTTCCTCCGTTTTGTAGTCAAGGGATTGCTTTAGCTTTGCCCCTGTGTGCTGGGATCTTTACAAAGGTTTATGAATAGTTACTAGTTGCTCTTCCCCTGATAGAGAACCACCTATTTGCCATCTAACATCGGTTTCCTGGTTCAACTTTTATCAAACTATTGTGCCTAGATTTTCAGATATTTCAGGCATAATGGTATGATCTCTGTTATTGCATCTAGGTCAAAAGATGCTCTATATGTTTTTTGCAGTGAGTATGATTAAAAAACAAACAAAAATAAATGTAATTCTCTAAATATTCACATAGAGACTGTTCTTACAGATTTACTCTTCTAACTGGGGTTTGGAAAAAATGGTCCTATGCATTTTTTTTACATTGAAATTTCCATTATTTTTTTAATCTACAGTTTATCCATACTTAGATTTTATTATTGTATATAATAATGTAATATAAATCACTGATGCATTTATGTTTTATTAGAATTAGATTACATTTAGTACTTAATGGAACACTGCTGAAAAGATCTTATACTATTTTTCATGCTTGTTTTCCTCTCTTATTCCACCAATATATGAAGAAATGAGATAAAAAGGAGAACATAGACATTTCTATTTGCCTGAAATTTTGTATCACTAATTTGTGTTCTGGAAAAAAGGACATCCTTGTCCTATGGCATATTGCTGCCAAAATAAATTTCCAGAGTTAATAGTTTTATTCTGTTTTAAAATTACTTCTTACCAGTCATCTAATTCAGAAAGAGAGTAAGAGCCAAGTTTTAAAAACTATATGTTAGGAAATGCCTCATTTAAAAATGTATGCATATTTGTGCTCACAAATTGGGTAATTGTGCACCTAACAACTCTATTCATTTTATCATTATTCACTTTGTGTGTATACAAATGAAGGCTTTTTAAGTCAAGTTCTGTGGCCTGGGACTCTCATGATTGGGACTTAGTTACATTTTATGTTTCTGTTCAGTGCTAATGCATGCCATTTCATGGAAAATAATAGAATACCTTATTTACTCTGGTATAACTATACCAAGTGGTTCTTTACTTAACATGTATTTTGAAATGGTATAAATCATGTTGTGATGACCCCCAACCATAAAATATTTTCGTTTTACTTCATAATTGTTATGAATCATAATGTAAATACCTGTGTTTTCTGATGGTTTTAGGCGACCCTGCTAGCAGTTCTCAACCTGTGGGTCGTGAACTGCTGCTGTAGAGCCTAAAACCATCAGAAAACACAGATATTTACATTAGGATTCATTAACAGTAGCAAAATTACAGTTATGAATTAGCAACGAAAATAATTTTATGGCTGGGGGTCACTACAACACGAGGAGCTGTATTAAAGGGTCACAGCATTAGAAAGGGTGAGAACCACTGGTCTAGAGAAACTCTAGGAGAGAATGTGTTTCCTTGACTTTTCTAGCTTCTAAAAGTGCACTTTTTGCATTTGTTGCTCATGACCCCTTTCTCTATTTTTCAATGCGAATAGCTACAGTAACTTTTCCTTTTTTGTAGTAAACTCTTCATCTGTGCTCATAAATTGGGTAATTGTGCACCTAACACTTGTAATTACAACTTCATGATCCTTCCCCAGACCTGAAGTCAAAGAATTGAGAGGATCAGCATTTCCAATACTTGGAGATAGGAACACTTGTGATTACAATTTTGGCAAGACTGTCTTTCCACCTGAAGAGCCTTAACTTAGGTTATACTTTTAAATTTTCTTTTGCCATATATAAGAAGCCTTCCTAGGAATAAGATGTTGATATCTTTTATAGCTCAAATGAAGGACAAAATACTGCCAAAAGTCACATAAAACAAAACATGTTAGAAACCAGTACAGTTGGGAAAGAAGTTAAGTTTTATGGATGGGTTGATAATATAAGCAAGAGATCCACTGTTTTCCAAAATTTTGTACTGTTGACTGATGTTTCTTTTTTGTTTATTTCTGATACAAATGGAAGATTAATCTTTAATTTTTTCTGATATACTTCATCTTCTACTCTTGTCTTACCCTATAAAACTAATACTTAGTAATATAAGGTCATGCGTTCATGTATTGGAGTACAGATTTACACAGCCAGGTATTATGCTTAGTTTAGAAATAATTTACATTTGATATTTGAACATGGACACATGTTCAAATATGTACTTTCATATTTCCTTTAAACCTTTTCGTCATCCTTTCCTTCACCTTTGTTATTCTCAACAACAACGAATTATTGACCACTTTGCCACTGATGGCAAAGTTTTTCTAAGAAATATGATGAGAATTTTTTTTTTTTTTTTAGGAGAGAGTTCTAAAGGTTCCTGAAGTCCTAGGAGATCTCAGAGCTAGATTATTTTTTGCTGTTATTGTTCAGTATCATTCCAGTGTTTACATTTTGTTGTATACCTTTGGAGAGAAAATTTTACTTGATAATTCTAATATATTATATGGCTCAGTGACTTCTACAGTTTCCAATAAGTATGTTTTAACATGTAACTTTATTAAGCATGTGTTTTGTTGCATAATTTGTAAGGTAGATGTTTATATTTTTCTTTCCTGAACTACAGGATACCAGAAGGCCCCATTGATCAGGGGCCGGTTTCCGGAAGGATTCGTGCTTTAGAAGAGCAGCTTGTGAAGGCCAAAGAACAAATTGAAAATTATAAGAAACAAACTAGAAATGGTAGGTGATTATACAGTATATTTCTCTCCTTAGTATATTGATATTAGCACCAATAATTAAACACTTTCTTTCATCAAAATATTGGAAATGTTGATCCTCTCAATTCTTTGACTGCAGGTCTAGGGAAGGATCATGAAATTCTGAGGAGGAGAATTGAAAATGGAGCTAAAGAGCTTTGGTTTTTTCTACAAAGTGAATTGAAGAAATTAAAGAATTTAGAAGGAAATGAACTCCAAAGACATGTGGATGAATTTCTGTCAGATTTGGGGGATCATGAAAGGTAACCTTTTTACTTTACATTTCATTTGGTCTTTAGTAAAGATTATAATCTAAGAATGGGAAGCTGGAACTTTTGGTAATTTCCCTGTTGAATGATAAATGATACCTACCATAGTTAGGAATAGGAGAATACCTGAGATCTCAGAGGATAATAATTGCCAGATGTAGTTCATCAACTAAAAATATATCACGGAATAATATTATTTAAAACATATTTCTAATCTGGCCCATTGTGACTCAGTGGTTGAACATTGACCCATTAACCAGGAGGTCAAGGTTCAATTCCCGGTCAGAGCACATTCCCGGGTAGTTGGCTCAATCCCCCCTAGAGGGTGTGCAGGAGAAAACGAATCAGTGATTCTCTCTCATTATTGATGTTTCTATCTCTTTTCTTCTCTCTTCCACTGTCTGAAATCAATAAAAATATATTTAAAAAGTAAATAAATAAAACACTTCTAGAAATCTCTATACTGTAAGTAAATTCTGAAGTTAGTGATATCAGCCAACAATACTTTGGAAATCTTCCTGTAAATTTCCTCATATACAATCGATATTTGAAGTGGAGTCTGCAGTTTTATATTATAACTAGAGGCCTGGTGCACGAAATTCATGCACGAGGTGGGGGTGCGGGGTATCCCCAGCCTAGCCTGTATGCTCTCTAATCTGGGATCCCTAGAGGCATGTCCCAACTGCCTGTGTAGGCCTGATCCTGCCAGGATGGGACCTACAAGGGCAGTCAGACATCCCTCTCACAATCCACAGACTGCTGGCTCCCAACTGCTCACCTGCCTGCTTTCCTGATCGCCCCTGACCGCTTCTGCCTGCCAGCCTGATCACCTCCTAATTACTCCCCTGCCAGCCCAATTGCCCCTAACTGCCCTCCCCTACAAGCCTGGTCACCCCTAACTGCCCTCCCCTGCAGGCCTGGTTCCTCCCAACTGCCCTTCCCTACAGGCCCGGTCGCTCCCAACTTCCCTCCTCTGCCAGCCTGATCACCCACAACTGCCCTCCCTTGCAGGCCTGGTCCCTCCCAACTGCCCTCTCCTGCTGCCCCTGCTGGTCACCTTGTGGTACCATCTTATGTCCACATGGGGGCAGCCATCTTTGACCACATGTGGACAGCCATCTTGTGTGTTGGAGTAATGGTCAATTTGCATATTACCCTTTTATTAGATAGGATAATTGAAACTTTGTAGCCTTGAGCAGAGGCCAGTGCCAGTCAGAGCGGGCGGGAAGCTTGGGTTCCTCCATCACCAGGGAAACCCAAGCCTCCTGCTCTCTCCAACTCCCTGGCCGCCGCCGCCATCTTTGTTGGGATTTATTTATATTCTATAATTGAAACTTTGTAGCCTTGAGTGGATGCCAGGGCTGGCCAGGGTGGGTAGGAGCCTCCTGCTTGCTCCAGCTTTGTGGCTGCCGCTATATTTGTTGGGTTAATTTGCATACTCGCTCCTGATTGGCTGGTGTGCATGGCTTGTGGGCATAGTGGAGGTACAGTCAATTTGCATGTTTCTCTTTTATTAGACAGGATATATTATAACTCACTGAGACTGGCAATTACTACTATGTTTCTAATTCGGACATTAAAAACATTAAAATAGCCTCTTTTAAGGGTTTCTAATTAAAGATGAACAGGTTTTTTTTTTGTGTTTTTTTTTTTATAAAAGGAATCATTCTGTTCCATTTAGTTGCTAGAAAGAAGAACCTGAAATCTGCCTAATTCTTCTGTTTGCACTTTTTTGAAAATATGCAGTTTATATTACACTAGAGGCCTGGTGTGTGAAAATTCATGCACTGAAGGGGGTGTCCCTCATCCTGGCCTGCCCCCCTCACAGTCCAGGAGCCCTCAGGGATGGGAGGCAACCCGGTGATCAGGGGAAGGCAAGGCCCCATCATACATCTGCTGCTGCCACTGCGGGCAGCGCAAGCCTTAGCTGGCCCTCATTAACTGAGTCTTGGGTGGCCCTGGGTGGCTGGGCAACTGCTTTTGAGGCTTGCCTCTGCCTCGGGCCAGCTCTAGGTGGCTGGGAAGCTGCCATCTGAGGCTTGCCTGTGCCTTGAGCCATCCCTGGATGGCAGGGGGGCTGAGGGGACCAGGGGACTCTGGTGGCAGGCGCATGGAGTGACTGGGCCCAGCCTTGCTGTGAGCCTGCTGCCCTGGCGGGGCTGGGGTGACTGGGTGCCGCCATCTAGTGACTGTGGGCACCACCATTTTTGAGGGTGTAGCAGTCAGTTAGCATATTCCCTCCTTATTGGCTGTGCGTACCACCATTTTTGAGGGTAGGCAGTCAATTAGCAAAGTCCCTCCTTCTTGGCTGTGGGTGCTGCCATCTTTGTGACAGCATGAGGGCCAATTAGCATATTCCCTCTTTATTAGATAGGATAGAAAGAAAACATTTTGTTTGCTGGTGTGTTTATGCAGAGCAAAATGTATCTGAGAATCATTATAAATACAGGGAAAACTGTCTTTAGCCCTATTATATTTATGTCTATATTCCCAGTAGGATTGTAATGGCAATTACTGTCTCATTAGTGAACAATAAATGAAAAATTGTTCTATTAACACAACCTACTATTGTGAAGAGGAAAAAAGTTATCCTATAACAATAGGATTCATATATATTAGCATCATTAGCAATATTGCAGTGATTTTGAAATACTTATCTGCTGTTTTATTTAAGTGAAATTAAATAAAGTCTATCAGTTTATCAGAATCATTTTAACGTTAATGAATCTTCAGAAGTAAGACAGTTTGAAATCAAGGGACATTGAATTATTAAGCCATTGGACAGACCCTTTGAAATTTTTAGCCTCGTTTGCAATTAAGTAGTAGTTAAGAGTGTTAGACTTTATTCTGCCTTTAATGCTTCTCTACCTTCAAGCTAATTCTGAGTACCAAGATTTTGTTAATTGGAGCTGTGTGTTTGCATGCTTTACTTATTGCAGTTTTATAGGGAAATCCAACTCTGAAGAGGATTTGAGTTGGGTAGACTATGGTACTTAAAGGAGAATTTTGACGGTTGACTTCTGATGAAATGTTTAAAGTTTGGGTGATTTAATTAAATTACTTGAATTTAATTTTTATGTCTTTTCTAAATCAAAGTAATTACTTAAAGAATTATTTTGTACATATATTTTGTTACCAAATGTAGAAACACCATACAAATGAAAAACATTAGGCCCTGGATACTTAATGTATAGTAAATCAATGTTACATTTTTGTAAATTGAATTATGATTCCTGACACTACCTTTTAGTAAATGTTAAATAATAACATTGAACTAGATTAAGTATTATATTATAATACTAGAGGCCAGATGCATGAAAATTTGTGCAAGAGCCTTCCTTTCCTCGGCTGCCAGCACTGGCTTCTCGCTGGCGCCCGGGACCTGTGCTACTTCTCTCCTCGCAGGCACCAGGGACCCAGGTTGGCTTCCCTTAGGCCGGCTGCAGGCACCCAGGACCTGGGCTGGCTTCCCTCCGGCCCTGGCTTCGTCAGGAAGGACATCCTGAATGATGTCTGATCTAATTAGCATATTGCCCTTTTATTTTATAGATTTTGCAGAAAATAAAAATGGAAAGATACCCAACTACTAAGACCAATTTCTTTTACTGTCATTTGCAAAAATTATAATGAACTTGGGATACAACTTCACAGAGTAGTAATTTAATTCTAGGCGGCCAGATTAGAATGCAATGGCACAAATAATGAGCAAAGAACCATCAAACACTAGAGAAATAACCTTTAATGAATGTTCAAGTACAGAAGATTTGTAATAGATAGATTATGCCATTTAACTGATAATTTTCAGGGTTTTTATGTGTAAGAATTAAGACAGACATTTATGTTTGTCTCTGATGATTTACACAAAAATCTTTATTTCATTTTTATACTTGCCCAAAAGATAATGTCTAGGTTGTCTCTGGACTGAAAGCCTATGTCCTCTGAGAAATCGAGGTTAAGTTTGTTCAGATTTCTCTGTGAATCACTCCTCATTTTTTTGTTCAAAAAGACATCAGTTATAGGGGGAAAACTTAATGGCTTTTGTTTCTTCAGAACGGGTTCTTTCTTTCTTTGGACTTTGTCTGATAGAAACACTGATTCTCTTTTTTTTCTCTATGAATCCACTTTATTGCAGCATAATTTATGTATGATAAAATGTGCATATTTTAGTCTATAGTTCTATTAGTTTTGACAAATGTTCAGTTTTGGAATCACCGCCCTAGTCAAGATTCAGAACATTGCTACTGCCCCAAGAAATTTCATCCTGCTCCTTTGTAATCAGCACCTCCCCGCCCCCATCAGTCCCTGGCAGTAACCAAATCTGTTTCCTGTCCCTATAATGTTGCCTTTTAAGAATTTTATATAAATGCAGCTAAAACCGGTTTGGCTCAGTGGATAGAGCATCAGACTGCAGACTGAAAGGTTCTGGGTTCGATTCCGGTCAAGGGCATGTACCTTGGCTGCGGGCATATCCCTGGTAGGGGGTGTACAAGAGGCAGCTGGTCGATGTTTCTCTCTCATGGACATTTCTAGCCCTCTATCCCTCTTCCTTCCTCTCTGTAAAAATCAATAAAATATATTAAAAATTTTTTTTATATAAATGCAATCAGATACTCTGTAGTTTTTGAGTGTGGTTTCTTTCACTTGGCATAATGCATTTGATATTCATGCATGTTGTTTTGTGTATTGTTAGTACATTTTTTTATTGTTAAGTAATATTCCATTGTATGGATATATCACAGCATAGCCATTTACCAGTTGAAGGGCATTTGGGTTGTTTTCCATTTTTTTTGTGTAATTATGAGTACAGCCACTATAAACAATACCACACATATTTTTCTGGAAACATGTTTTTATTTATTTTGGGTTAATATCTAGGAGTGGGCTTGATTGGTCGTAAGTTGAATATATGTTTAATTTTATAAGATACTGTTAAATTGTTTTCCAATAGTGTTGGCACTATTTTGCAGTCACCAGCAATGATTAAGAGTATCAGT